ACAACTAAATCTAAAACTGATAGTATCCATCAGTTCTAGTACAGCTGTTAAATATAATTTAATCGAAACTGATAGTATCCATCAGTTCTGGTAAAGCTGTTAAAGATAACTTAATCTAAAACTGATAGTATCCATCAGTTCTGGTACAGCTGTTAAATATAATTTAATCTAAACTGATAGTATCCATCAGTTCTGGTACAGCTGTTAAATATAACTTAATCTAAAACTGATAGTATCCATCAGTTCTGGTACAGCTGTTAAATGTAACTTAATCTAAAACTGATAGTATCGTTCAGTTCTGGTACAGCTGTTAAATGTAACTTAATCTAAAACTGATAGTATCCATCAGTTCTGGTACAGCTGTTAAATATAACTTAATCTAAAACTGATAGTATCCATCAGTTCTGGTACAGCTGTTAAATATAACTTAATCTAAAACTGATAGTATCCATCAGTTCTGGTACAGCTGTTAAATATAACTTAATCTAAAACTGATAGTATCCATCAGTTCTGGTACAGCTGTTAAATATAACTTAATCTAAAACTGATAGTATCCATCAGTTCTGGTACAGCTGTTAAATATAACTTAATCTAAAACTGATAGTATCCATCAGTTCTGGTACAGCTGTTAAATATAACTTAATCTAAAACTGATAGTATCCATCAGTTCTGGTACAGCTGTTAAATATAACTTAATCTAAAACTGATAGTATCCATCAGTTCTGGTACAGCTGTTAAATATAACTTAATCTAAAACTGATAGTATCCATCAGTTCTGGTACAGCTGTTAAATATAACTTAATCTAAAACTGATAGTATCCATCAGTTCTGGTACAGCTGTTAAATATAACTTAATCTAAAACTGATAGTATCCATCAGTTCTGGTACAGCTGTTAAATATAACTTAATCTAAAACTGATAGTATCCATCAGTTCTGGTACAGCTGTTAAATATAACTTAATCTAAAACTGATAGTATCCATCAGTTCTGGTACAGCTGTTAAATATAACTTAATCTAAAACTGATAGTATCCATCAGTTCTGGTACAGCTGTTAAATATAACTTAATCTCCTCTTTTAACCCTATTTCATGGAAATGCAGTGTAAATTTATGACGTTTAAAGACCCTATAAAAGGACGTGACCTCTGACCTCTGCCACAAAGAGTGTCCAATGTGATGCGGGGTTGACAACAGCCTGTGACACAAACCTGATACAAAAATTGATATCTCTTATTGCATTTCTCACATATCACTTGACAAAACTGTGATGTTATTATCTTTTAAGTTTGATCGGGCTCATCGTTTTTGTATTGATTGTTTGTTCTGAAAAAGAACAGAGACAACATTCTCTGTTGCTGGTGACAGAGGTCACATGTCAAGGTTAAACGTCAATCGGTGATGGAGAACAACCAAAGTCCATCAAGTTTTTGCATAAAAATTAGTTTGATATTGCCTACAGGTTTCCCAATCACAGATTAAGATACACCTCCCCTCCATATAAAGCTAACCACACTTGTCTACTGTCATTAAAACTAAAATGTCCTAGGTCAGCTGGCTTCTGTCATCTCTCTACAGTAAATAGACTTTGTTTTGAAAAGTTGTTGAGAATGTATGAAGGAATGTAACTGGACTGTGACCATAACTGTCACATGACGCGACAGCTACCTACGGCTCGGCTACGGCTCCGGTGACAGCTCCGGCTCCTCTCCATTACGGCCGGTTGTGTGTGACATCAGTTTAATAATACTTCGAGACAGAGAAGCTCCTGACTTGTCGTTTTATGTCCCATAAAATGTTTCAAAAATTGACATGATAAAAGAGTAAAAATTGGTCAATTCGTTGAACCATGAAATCAAGTTTTACGTTTTTATAGGACGTTGGTAAATTAGAATAGTACAGTAAGTTTGTGTTCTGTAAATCTTCCCCGACTACAATCATGCTTACACAATCACATACATGTAATGCTGCTTTCCGCCCACACTTCCTTTTTTTTTTTTGTCCTGTCTGGAATTTTTGTCAAAACATATATAAACATACAGAGTTAATGGACAGCATGATGTCAAATACACACAACTATTTTTTTTAATTATTCAAAAATGTAGAAATCCATCAACGTGTTGAAATTTGGTTTATGTTTAAACTATCCCTATCCAAAATCATTCACCTGGGTGCTAGAGGTATTGATTTCAGTGAACTTGTACCTGTCTCTGATAGAGAAGACATCGTGTACCTGTCTCTGATAGAGAAGCCATCGTGTACCTGTCTCTGATAGAGAAGACATTGTGTGCCTGTCTCTGATAGAGAAGACATCGTGTCCCTGTCTCTGATAGAGAAGACATCATGTACCTGCCTCTGATAGAGAAGACATTGTGTACCTGTTTCTGATAGAGAAGACAATGTGTACCTGTCTCTGATAGAGAAGACCATGTGTACCTGTCTCTGATAGAGAAGACATTGTGTGCCTGTCTCTGATAGAGAAGACATCGTGTACCAGTCTCTGATTGAGAAAACATTGTGTACCTGTCTCTGATCGAGAAGACATCATGTACCTGCCTCTGATAGAGAAGACATTGTGTACCTGTCGCTGATAGAGAAGACAATGTGTACCTGTCTATGATAGAGAAGACATTGTGTACCTGTCGCTGATAGAGAAGACAATGTGTACCTGTCTCTGATAGAGAAGACAATGTGTACCTCTCTCTGATAGAGAAGCCATTGTGTACCTGTCTCTGATAGAGAAGGCATCGTGTACCTGTCTCCGATTGAGAAAACATTGTGTACCTGTCTCTGATCGAGAAGACATCATGTACCTGCCTCTGATAGAGAAGACATTGTGTACCTGTCGCTGATAGAGAAGACAATGTGTACCTGTCTATGATAGAGAAGACATCGTGTACCTGTCACTGATAGAGAAGACATTGTGTACCTGTCTATGATAGAGAAGACATTGTGTACCTGTCTCTGCTAGAGAAGACATTGTGTACCTGTCTCTGCTAGAGAAGACATTGTGTACCTGTCTCTGTTAGAGAAGACATCGTGTACCTGTCTCTTATAGAGAAGACATCGTGTACCTGTCTCTGATTGAGAAAACATTGTGTCCCTGTCTCTGATAGAGAAGACATCATGTACCTGCCTCTGATAGAGAAGACATTGTGTACCTGTCTATGATAGAGAAGACATTGTGTACCTGTCTATGATAGAGAAGACATCGTGTACCTGTCACTGATAGAGAAGACATTGTGTACCTGTTTCTGATAGAGAAGACAATGTGTACCTGTCTATGATAGAGAAGACATCGTGTACCTGTCACTGATAGAGAAGACATTGTGTACCTGTCTATGATAGAGAAGACATTGTGTACCTGTCGCTGATAGAGAAGACAATGTGTACCTGTCTCTGATAGAGAAGACCTTGTGTACCTGTCTCTGATAGATAAGACATTGTGTGCCTGTCTCTGATAGAGAAGACATTGTGTCCCTGTCTCTGATAGAGAAGACATTGTGTACCTGTCTCTGATAGAGAAAACATCATCAGGAGGGAACGTCATCAAAACAAATCTGTCCTACTACCAGTCAGAAATCTGACCTAAAGGTTAGCCCCGATCAACCCTCCGATCAACCCTCCGATCAACCCTCAGCTAAACCTGATCAGGGATCATTTGTAAGGTTAGGAGGGATGGCTTATCAACTCAAACATCTTACATGTTGCCTTCAGAATCAGATTACATTTCATAATCTTAGATTCCTGCTGTCTCAATTATGGACAGGTCATGTGATCCACACTTCTTGTCATAAAAACAAGGTTGTGATTGGTCAATGTATTCTTGTTGTTGATTGGTCAGGTATGTTGTCATTGGATCATCTTCTTTATGGTATAGATTAAGTGTTAAACTAGAGATATTTTAGAGATGTTAAGATTAATAGGTAATTCACAGAGAAAATGTATCCGTCTGTGTAGTAGTGCTATCGGGTGGTATTATAATACTATCAGTTTAAGTCTTGTAATGTTTCCCATGAACGGTGTCTGTTGTGAGAGCGAGATAGCATTAATTTTCCTGCCTTTGTTAACCATTTTGTTAAGTAATGTATTTTCTCTTCGCACACAAAGGGTTAAAAAAAATACAGACTTCCAAAAAACCTTACCCACTAATATCAATGGAGGCTCTGTGTTAAATGATGGGGAATTGCCCGGTATTGGTAGAACTGATACATGTAAGCACCTTCTGGTGGAACGAAAACCCTAAATACAATTTACATAATGGGAGATTATTTTGAAGACATGATTTGCAATTATATAATTAAAATAATACTATGAATTCTTATTTCACAAACTTTAAAACTAGTTTTTAAAATTCAATTAAAATTACTATCTTTATGTTTCTTTGTAGAAGTTATTTATTTACAGCCAATTGTGAATGTTTTAACCCAAATTTTGTTGTAGCATTTTTAGTTGAAGGGCATAGATTTATTTTCCTCAGAGAATTTATCAACAGATTAAGCTACTATAATGTTATTTAAATTTTAAATGTGGTGCTATACCTATAGAAAAAATCCAGAATTACAAATACCCTGGCTTATGGTTTCATGAACACTTTAAATTTACCCCTTGTTGGGGTACATGGTATTATATATATATATATATGCAAATTATAGTCCTGCTACAAATAAGATTTTATCAAACATTATTGTTTTTACAAAGACTGGTTAACAACATTACATGTCTGAAGATAGTAAATAGTGTGATTGTTCCTATAACGTGTATAATAAGTCATTTTGGCTAGACACATTTTATATTCAAAGGTATATATGTATTGTGATTTTATGAATACTATGTGTTTGACCCGAAAATACAATATTTGAACTTGACCTTGTATCTTACTGTTGAGACCTCGGAGCATGCTCTGGTATGTATACTCATTAAGTGCTAATACGCCCCTCCATTCACAGATGTATATTTTGTAATAATAAGTACTGATTGTTGATACCCCCCTCCTTTCACAGATGTTTGCTGGGATGGGAACAGGTAGCAGTGCGACCCTTAACTCTAATGTAAGCATACCATTTCTTACCTGTGACTAATCCAAAATCTCCTTACATAACCCGTCTTCTACAGTCACAAAATATCTTTCTTCTGTTCAATGCTTCACTGCAAACAGTCATATCTCAAATGGTTATGTCTAATTTACATGTGTTATCCAATTTCAAAAATATGTTTGTCATTTATTTTATAATTTCAATTTATCGAAGATGCATCTTTAAACATCTTTTCCAAATGTAATCATTTTATCTTTGTATTATAATTTACTTTCATTCTGCAAAATTCCTACTTTAAAAAATGTACACCTATCAAATATACTTAAGCAGGGTTTGACACTAGCATTTAAGTCATCTAGTTCCAGACCAGTACTAGAGGATCACCTAGCAAGTCCCTCATAACTGATGATGTTATCACACAATATCAATAGACTGAAGACTATCAAAATATCAAAATAATAATATTCCTGTCCAAAAAATGCTTAAAATCAAGGAATATTGCACATTAATTGTGAGGCACCTTCCATTCAATGTACACATCATACTAGCAAATAATCTATTCAACTAGCCCTGTGGACTACCAAGCACACGTAGCTAGTGTCTAACCCTGTTTTAACTTGTGTTTCATTTTCAGTTTTGTATAATATTATATATTTATATGAAAAAGCAAAATATATGCTTATTTTATTTTCAGTTTAAATGTTATGTTATATGTTATTTCTTGTTTTTAACAGACAAAACTTGATCTTAGATATACTGTATATAATAGAACAATATGTAGGAACTTTACTGATAACTAACTAATATATAATAGATCAGCGATACCCAGTTATATCAGTTAATAAGTAATAATAAAACCTGCAAGTTACACTGATATCTGTAGTGAGTCGGACTGGATCTACCCAAATATATAGAGCCTTTAATTTCTGTGTAATCAATCTTTAACAGATCCGGACTGTGACAGTCAAATACTCTAAATTTTATGAGACAGTCTGAATCAAAGAAGATACTCTTTTCGAAGAAAAAGAAGGACATTCTTAACCATGGCTTGTGGGATTGGAAAAGGGTTAATAATATAGCCAGCATAGAATACAGTAAACCTACCCAACAATAATATAGTCAGCATAGAATACAGTATACCTAGCCAACAATAGTATAGCCAGCATAGAATATAGTAAACCTACCCAACAATAATATAGTCAGCATAGAATACAGTAAACCTACCCAACAATAATATAGCCAGCATATAATACAGTATACCAACACAACAATAATATAGCCAGCATAGAATACAGTACACCTACCCAACAATAATATAGCCAGCATAGAAGGGTTAATAATATAGCCAGCATAGAATACAGTAAACCTAGCCAACAATAATATAGCCAGCATATAATACAGTATACCAACACAACAATAATATAGCCAGCATAGAATACAGTACACCTACCCAACAATAATATAGCCAGCATAGAAGGGTTAATAATATAGCCAGCATAGAATACAGTAAACCTACCCAACAATAATATAGCCAGCATAGAATACAGTACACCTACCCAACAATAATATAGCCAGCATAGAAGGGTTAATAATATAGCCAGCATAGAATACAGTAAACCTAGCCAACAATAATATAGCCAGCATATAATACAGTATACTTACACAACAATAATATAGCCAGCATAGAATACAGTACACCTACCCAACAATAATATAGCCAGCATAGAAGGGTTAATAATATAGCCAGCATAGAATACAGTAAACCTACCCAACAATAATATAGCCAGCATATAATACAGTATACTTACACAACAATAATATAGCCAGCATAGAATACAGTACACCTACCCAACAATAATATAGCCAGCATAGAATACAGTAAACCTACCCAACAATAATATAGCCAGCATATAATACAGTATACCAACACAACAATAATATAGCCAGCATAGAATACAGTACACCTACCCAACAATAATATAGCCAGCATAGAATACAGTATACTTACCCAACAATAATATAGCCAGCATAGAATATAGTATACCTACCCAACAATAATATAGCCGGCATAGAATACAGTATACTTACCCAACAATAATATAGCCAGCATATAATACAGTATACCTACCCAACAATGATATAGTCAGCATAGAATACAGTAAACCTACACAACAATAATATAGCCAGCATAGTCAGCATAGAATACAGTATCCCTAGCCAACAATAATATGGCCAGCATAGAATACAGTATAACTACCCAACAATAATATAGCCAGCATATAATACAGTATACCTCCCCAACAATAATATAGCCAGCATACAATATAGTATACCTACCCAACAATAATAAAGCCAGCATAGAAAACAGTATACTTAGCCAACAATAATATAGCCAGCATTGAATACAGTATACCTAGCCAACAGTAATATAGCCAGCATAGAATACAATACTTAGCCAACAATAATATAACCAGCATAGAATACAGTATACTTACCCAACAATAATATAGTCAGTATAGAATACAGTATACCTAGCCAGCATAGAATACAGTATACATAGCCAACAATAATATAGCCAGCACATAATACAGTATACCTAGCCAACAATAGTATAGCCAGCATAGAATACAGTACACCTACCCAACAATAATATAGTCAGCATAGAATCCAGTATACCTAGCCAACAATAATAGAGCATGCATAGAAAACAGTATACCTACACAACAATAATATAGCCAGAATAGAATACAGTATACCTACACAACAATAATATAGCCAGAATAGAATACAGTATACCTACACAACAATAATATATCCAGCATAGAATACAGTATACCTAACCAACAATAATATAGCCAGCATATAATACAGTATACCTCCCCAACAATAATATAGCCAGCATAAAATACAGTATACCTACCCAACAATAAATAATATAGCCAGCATAGAATATAGTATCCCTACCCAACAATAATATAGCCGGCATAGAATACAGTAAACCTAGCCAACAATAATATAGCCAGAATAGAATACAGTATACCTACCCAACAATGATATAGTCAGCATAGAATACAGTAAACCTACCCAACAATAAAATAGCCAGCATAGAATACATTAAACCTAGCCAGCATAGAATACAGTATAACAAGCCAACAATAAATACCTAGCCAACAATAATATAGCGTGCATAGAAAACAGTATACCTACACATCAATAATATAGCCAGCATAGAATAAAGTATACCTAGCCAACAATAATATAGCGTGCATAGAAAACAGTATACCTACACATCAATAATATAGCCAGCATAGAATATAGTATCCCTACCCAACAATAATATAGCCAGAATAGAATATAGTATACCTACCCATCAATAATATAGCCAGCATAGAATAGAGTATACCTAGCCAACAGTAATATAGCCAGCATAGAATACAGAATACCTACCCAACAATAATATAGTCAGCATAGAAAACAGTATACATAGCCAACAATAATATAGCCAGCACATAATACAGTATACCTAGCCAACAATAGTATAGCCAGCATAGAATACAGTACACCTACCCAACAATAATATAGCCATCATAGAATACAGCCAGCATAGAATACAGTATACCCACCCAACAATAATATAGCCAGCATAGAATAGAGTATACCTAGCCAACAGTAATATAGCCAGCATAGAATACAATACTTAGCCAACAATAATATAACCAGCATAGAATACAGTATACTTACCCAACAATAATATAGTCAGTATAGAATACAGTATACCTAGCCAACAGTAATATAGCCAGCATAGAATACAATACTTAGCCAACAATAATATAACCAGCATAGAATACAGTATACTTGCCCAACAATAATATAGCCAGCATATAATACAGTATACCTCCCCAACAATAATATAGCCAGCATAAAAAACAGTATACTTATCCAGCAATAATATAGCCAGCATAGAATAAAGTATACCTAGCCAACAATAATAGAGCATGCATAGAAAACAGTATACCTACACAACAATAATATACCCAGCATAGAATACAGTATACCTACCCAACAATAAATAATATAGCCAGCATAGAATACGGTATACCTACACAACAATAATATATCCAGCATAGAATACAGTATACCTCCCCAACAATAATATAGCCAGCATACAATATAGTATACCTACCCAACAATAATAAAGCCAGCATAGAAAACAGTATACTTACCCAACAATAATATAGTCAGTATAGAATACAGTATACCTAGCCAGCATAGAATACAGTATACCGACCCAACAATAATATAGCCAGCATACAATATAGTATACCTACCCAACAATAATATAGCAAGCATAGAATACAGTATACCTAGCCAACAGTAATATAGCCAGCATAGAATACAGAATACCTACCCAACAATAATATAGTCAGCATAGAAAACAGTATACCTACCCAACAATAATAAAGCCAGCATAGAAAACAGTATACCTAGCCAACAATAAGATGGCCAGCATAGAATACAGTATAACTACCCAACAATAATATAGCCAGCATAAAATACAGTATACCTACCCAACAATAAATAATATAGCCAGCATAGAATAAAGTATACCTAGCCAACAATAATATAACCAGCATAGAATACAGTATACTTGCCCAACAATAATATAGCCAGCATATAATACAGTATACCTAGCCAACAATAGTATAGCCAGCATAGAATACAGTACACCTACCCAACAATAATATAGTCAGCATAGAATCCAGTATACCTAGCCAACAATAATATGGCCAGCATAGAATACAGTATAACTAGCCAAGAATAATATAGCCAGCATAAAATACAGTATACCTACCCATTACCCAACAATAATATAGTCAGTATAGAATACAGTATACCTAGCCAACAGTAATATAGCCAGCATAGAATACAATACTTAGCCAACAATAATATAACCAGCATAGAATACAGTATACTTATAATATAGCCAGCATAGAATACAGCCAGCATAGAATACA